CCCCTTTATCCAGACCATGAGTCTCTTCACTGACCTCTAATATCCGCTCTTTGCCAACAAAGCGCGGGAGGCTCACTTTTGCTCTCTGGAGCTTTACAGTTCCGAGTAGACTATCCGGTTAACCAGATAATATTTCGACAAAAAAGGAAAACTGGGGGAATGATCAAGATCTCGTCTAACAGTTTCAGAACATCATTATCATAATTCTGAACAGTACCATAGAGCTTTTGCAGACAATGGGACCAATGAAAGGTCACAATGGTCAGACCATGGCGTACTGACCTGTACGCTGTGCACAATACAAAGCGCATTATTCGGAAGTTGTTCGTTCATTTTCCAACCGATATTAAATAAGAAGTGCAATTTGTACAGCCGGGACTCTAAAATAAGCTGGGTTGGAACAATCAGATAACAAGGTCCAAGAGGCTTGACTATTCAACACATTACATCTTTCTCTTCCGACAGATTTCCGAAAACTAGATCTAACTCCTTGCGAACTGCGAACCGGTTATTTTCACCTAGGTCTTCCAAAACTCAGTTCACTTGAAAATGAGTGTTTAGCCAGCTCTCCTGCTCAATGTGGGAGCATCCTGCGCGCGAGCACAACCATCCCCCATCGGAACGCCGTTACTTATCCCTTTACCTCACCCCTCTGCCCCCACCCCCGCGTGCGCTCTTTTCCTCTCACAATCTCTTCTCTACTACTAGGCATCAAGCTGGGCTAGTGATGTGGCGATGAGTTCTGTACACTCAAGCTTCGCTTCTCGGCTCCTAGCTTTTCCAGAGTCTCTCAGTGAACCTGATCTGGTAGCCGCTGTGGCTCCAGCTAAAGGTTAGTGTAAACAAGTTGTGTGTGTGTGGTGGTCCCGGCTCTCTCTCTGCGGTCTACGATTGTGAGTGTTTCTTACTCCACTCCACCCTCTTGGCCTGAGAGCGTTGTTGTCGGCCATCCATGGGACTGTGTGAGTAACATAAGGCAAGTGACTGATTCTTACTCAGCATTGGAGGCTGTAACATCATGAGTGCTGTTGTTTGGAATTCCAGACTGCGGAGGTAGGCTGTTTCACTTTTGTAAAAATAAACCCACACAAAACAATGAAGCAATAACATTACAGATAAGCTGATTAAAATAATAACGGCAATTTTCGAATACACTCATCTTTGAAGTCTGAAATGGGAGTACTGGAATTTCCTGTGTCTCCTCTGAATTAATCTGTAAACTTTATAGCCCATTCCCTCCCAGACCCTAGACCGCCATCCCATCCCCACCCCAAAATTAACAAGGAACAAACAAACGGCAATTAGGCCTAAACTCCACTGTGATATACTTTTCATTTGCGCATTCCATGAACAAAGTTGGTGTAGCTCAAATCCATCTCTATTGTGTCAGATGACACTTATTTTGGATATTGCAATGTCAGCTATTGTCAGCTTTGCTTCTCAAGCTACGAGTAACCAAATAATGGTAGTAAATGAACAGAAGGCTAAACTAACCAATAGGAGTTCCAGTAGCCTAAATAAATTAATCTATAGAAATTTTGTCTAGATATTCTAGTACCGCACTACGACACAATAGTTGGGTTCGTTCAGTTGGTGAGTTGTGGACAAAGAAAATAAGAGAAGCACTACTGCGTAATTGTACTGTGTCGGTGTGGTAGGCTAGGCTTCTTTTTATAAATAAATTGTCCTCAATTTGCCGACAAAATCGTTGGCCAATAATTATTGTTTTGCCATTACGTGGTACTAGACTTATAGGTTATAATCAGTCAGTAAATGAACAGGAGGCTAGGTGTAAGTGTCACCAATAAACGAAGAACAGGCTATACAAGTTTTAGCAGTAAACAAACAATAGGGTAAGTCTTAGTGCTTCCAGAGAACACATGATAGGCTAAAATCTACCAGTAAACATGTAAAGATCTTTGCACTACTAGCTTTAGATGCGACCATTTTTCAAGGTAAGCTAAGGCTCGATTACCTAGATCTAGATTTGGATCATTCCTAACAAGACATACAAAATGCACCAATGAATGATTCTTCTCAAGTAGCAACCTGTTAACCAAAACTCGAAGTTGCCAAACACCGCTCATTTCTAAATATTCCCCAAGAGCCTGATTCTGTCAGGCCTGTTGTGTGTTCGTTTGATTGCGTGGAAAAGAGCCGATGCCAGCTAGCTATCCTTTCCCATGTGTTAGATCTCCTCGCCTTGTACTACATGCACAGGATGTGGCGGAAGCTTGAGCGTCATGTGCTTTTTTGTTTACTTTTCTTTTTGGGAAATTTGTTGACATTTTCGTGCAGAGGAAGCTATAGTGTAGATACTGGGTTTGAAATGTGAGCAGAGGTTCAGAAGGAGATTAATGTGGCACGTGTAAGGGGAAAGATGTTTGTTGCAGGTGATGCACGGGTTTAACAATTCATTCAAAGTCCCAGCTTATTTTGAGAAATGAAACCTCCAAACTCAACGTCCATCTCCGATAGTACCGAGTCAAATGATTGGAGCGTCTTATCAGCTCTTCAATCTAATTTCAAGATTGTTCCTCTGGGGATTCGAACGTGTTTCACATGCACAGCAGTCTTTCTTGGTAGCAGCTGAGCTAAAGGTGGGCCTTTGTCCCTTGGAGTTTCCATTTTACATCTGTGGTAACGCACATCTGTATGTTGGCCTTTATGAAAAAAGTAGGGAGTTAAACTGCTGCAAAAACAAAACCTCTTTCTGTGCTTTATGACAGTTACCTAAAACACCACATCTGACAATATATAAAAAAAATAAATAAAAAGCCGAATTTGTGTCTATCAGACGGCGGGGCGCCTTGTCCAGTTGTTAGAAGAAAGAGGGAAGAAGGAAACAAAGAACCCGCTGCCTATGTCCTGTTCAGGTCACAGCAAACTGGATCTGCCACGTGGAAGTTCCCGGCTCGAATCTGAGTGGGAGGCCGGTAAAGGGGAGG